TATTGAAACATTTCATATTTATAATAAAAAAAGATAAAAATATTTAATGATGGAAAAATATTTAAAAAAGTAATATGGTATTTAGTAGAATATTCAACATATTTAAAAGAAAAAGAACAAGGAAATATCTGTAAAAATATAGAATATACAAAATATGATAGAAATACATATGGAACTACAATACCATCAGAAGTTAAATCACTTGGAGATAAATGTTTTAAAGAATGTTCATTATTAACAACAATTAATATACCATCATCAATTACTAAAATAGGAAGTTATTGTTTTAAAGGATGTTCATTATTAACAACAATTAATATACCATCATCAATAAGTAAAATAGGAAGTTATTGTTTTTATAATTGTGATTCATTAACAACAATTAATATACCATCATCAGTTATATCAATAGGAGATCTTTGTTTTATTGGATGTTCATCATTAACATCAATTAATATAGATAATCTACAATATATTAGTAAAGAAAGAATATTTATGAATGAACCAGTGTTAATTAGTATTGAAATACCAGACAATCTACAAATAATTAATGGAAAGAATATTTTCAAGAAAGATATCAATGAATTTATTATTCCTTCTTCAATTACTAAATTAGGAGATGGTTGTTTTTCTAACTGTGATTCATTAACAACAATTAATATACCTTCATCAATTAGTGAAATAGGAAATTATTGTTTTTATGGATGTTATTCATTAAAATCAATTAATATACCATCATCAGTTATATCAATAGGAGATGAATGTTTTTATGAATGTACATCATTAACATCAATTAATATACCATCATCAATTAGTGAATTTGGATGGGAATGTTTTTGTGAATGTGGATGTGAAGAGGAATTAAAGAAAAATAAAACAATACCAAGAGATTGTTTTAACAAATGATGATGAATGAAATAAAAGTACAATAAATGAAATACAATATAATTTGAAGTAGAAATAAATTATAATTGATTATCATTTATATTATTATTATTCTTTTCTTATTTATTCTTTTTGATATTATTCTTTTTTATTGACTTAAAATATTTATTATTATTTATTGTATATGTTTATTATTTCTTATATCTTCTATTTTATCTTATTTATTTATTATCTTTTATATCTTTATTATTATTTTATTATTCTTTATTATTCTTATATTCTATATTTTAACTTATGATTTTCTATTATTAAATATAAATTAAATGAATTTGATATTATAGATAAATAAATATCAATTTTATTAATCTATTTGTATTTATATAAAAAAAAAAAAAAAAATATCAATTAATAGATATATCCATAATTGGATTTTCTTCATATTGA